ATGTTAATGGCCTAGATATTGTTAACTGTGATTCTTATTGGATAACTGTTGTGTTATATATTTTTTAAGGTTAAAACCCTTCTTTTCATTTAGACAGAAAAGAGGAGATGATGGGAGATGCCATTCTGTATATATGTTTCTCATACTGGTTAATGAATAAAGCACTGTTGGCCAATAGGAAAGGAAGATAGGAGAGCCTAGGAAACAAGGAAGAAAGAGGAAGTAGGAAGGAGGGGGCAACATGGAGAGTCTGGAGAGATCAGTACGCTGCACGTGGAAATACATAGATTAACTCAAATGGCTTAACACTTAAGACAGAGCTAGCCAATAAGAAAGTAGTAACTGGCCAACAGCATAATATCAAATACAGAGTCTCTATGTGTTAATTGGGGCTGGTGCGGCGGTGGGAAAAGACCAGGTGGTGAGAGGAAAAACCCTACTCCTTACACATAGCCATTGATGTTCTGGAATTTACAGTGTAGAAAACTGTGCTGGCAGGGAATTCATAAGATCCACCTGCCTCTGCCTCTGGAGCACTGGGATTAAAGGAGTGTGCCATCAAACCTACCCTAATATGCAGTATATTTTAGAAAATTACAACCAGAAACGCTGCACACTTGATTCAAATACAGTTTATTTTTCTGTCCTTGGAATTAAATATAATGTCTTGCAACATGCTAGGCAAATATACCCAAGGTGTACCACAGCCCTTCACTTCTAGTCAGTGCCTCTACCACTGAGCTATGACGAATTATTCTTTTTACATTACTTTATTCAGAGAGAGAGAGAGAGAGAGAGAGAGAGAGAGAGAGAGAGAGAGAGAAACAGCCCAAGTATGAAAGTTTAAGGATAGTTCTCTCCTTATACCATGTATCATGTGGGTTCCCAGGATGAAACTCAGGTCATCAGGTGTGACAGCCATCATCTTCACTGGCCAGGCTTGCTGGCCTTGTACAACACAGTATCTTCAGAACTTCCCTGATGAGACCTTGACATTCCACTTTCTGTGCAAATCCTAGAGGTGATCAGTCATGCTGCCCACAGCCTCCTGGCCTCCTGGCCTCTCCACACTTTGGTCAGTCCTGCTACAAGTATGGAAAGTAGTGATGCCTGTGGTTTTTGCCTATGTGGCCACTGTGCCACTCATTGGCACTTCAGGGCTGCAAATAGCTGTCCTCCCCACCTGTGGCTGGGTTCTCCAGAGAGCTTCCTTTGGCATATTCAGGATGGGCTTGTTTTCTAGACCTATTACATTGGGCTTAAGGAGACAACACATTTTGACACTGGTATAAGCCCACAAAGTTTACAAACAGCAGCAACATCACCAGAAGCAATGGTGGGTCCCAGGTACTATAGCACCAATATTAAAACCCAGAGACAGATATTGGGGTTAAAGCTGAAGATCAGACAAGCAAAGCAGCCAGCCCCTACAACATTTTCACCTCTACTAATCCTCAGAATGAAGGCTCATTCTATGAACCTCAGACTAGTCTTAATAGAACTACTCCTGAGACTCCTTGAGCTACTGTCTCCTCCTACCTTAACTTCCTCACTAGTGCTGAGTTTAAAGGTATGGGATCCCAAATTCTGAGGTTGTTTTAGTGTCAGCCCTGTTTCTCTTTTATACTGGATCACTTTTGCTGTAGCTCAGGGTGGCCTTGAACTAACAGAGATTCATCTGCCTCTGTCTCCAGAGTGCTAGGATTAAAGGTGTGTACCTCCACTACCTGGCTTCTATGGCTAACTAGTGTGGCTAGCCTCTATGGCTGTGGCTAGCTTTGCACTCTGATCTTCAGGCAAGCCTTGTTTGTTAGATCATAAACAAATCATCACTACAAGGTATCACAGATAAAACAAGAAGGAGCACAATGTGGGTTGTGTTTTGGTTCACTTCTCTCTCATTCACCACTGAAGCAGTGGACCCTCTTGAGGAAATCAGGAGGCAGCATGATGGAACAGAGAAACTAAACCCTCTCCTTGCAGAAACCACCAAAGTATATTTGGATTATAGTGAAGAAGTTTGCCAAGTATGTGGGTCACTCTGTTCATCCACTACAATGGCCCTGACTGTCTAGGCCAGCATCAGATCCAGCAAGTTACAGACTCCCAGGCTGCATAGGTGGTACCAGCCACGTCCTCAAGGGCATGAAGAGAATGAGAATCAGCTGTGTAGAGCAGAGTGCAAGCTCTGCTTCTCATGTGCCCGACAGTAGGGCTGCTGTGTACCCTGCCCTGTTCCCACTGAGACTCATGTTGGGCTTCCTCCACAGTCTTGCTTCCAGAACTTGGTGTCATCTTTCTCCAAGACCGCTTTTGCCTGTGCCTACCTCTCAGAGCTAAACTTCATAGGGAGTACATATGAGTAGGCAACAGGCATGTGTGAATGCACTCAAGTAGATCTGGCTCCTGTCCTTGTAGTAACCTAATCACAGGGCTGCAGGACTTAGGGTCAATCCAACTAAAAGAACCTTTCATGGAAGTAACTGCACTGAGTTGAGTTGGCTCAGTGGTTAAGAGCACTTCTTCCTTTTATGAAGGATCTGGGTTCAACTCCCAGCAACCACATGATAACTCCAGCTCCAGGGGATCCAATACACTCTACTGACCACCAAAGACAGGAAGATTGCACATGATGCAGAGGCATACATGCTGATGAAACATTCCTATATAAAAAATTAAAAAAAATTCTTAAAACAAAAAAGCAAAGAAAGACAAAAATGTCACCATGAGGCTCTCAAAAAACAAAGAGTTGGCTGAAACAGAGTTTACCTAGCATGTGTTATCCCTATATCCAACTTCAGCACAAAAAAAAAAAACACACACACACACACACACCACACAAAGGGTGGGTCAGTGAGATGGCTCAGTGGGTAAATGTGGCAGCCACCAGGCCTGACAACCTGAGTTTGATCTGCAGTACCCATGTGTTGGAAGATGGGAACTAATTCCCACAAGTAGTCCTATGACAGCTGTATGGACATGTTGGTCTGAATCCAGCCCCTAATTAAACAAACATGTAGTAAGTCTTAAAAAGTCACCAAAAACTCATTATTTGCACAATCATTGCTAATTATAATGTTTCAACCTGGTGGTGGTTACACAAGCTTTTAATCACAGTACTCAGGAGACACAAGCAGACATATCTCTGAGTTTGAGGCCAGCAAATTCTACAGAGCAACTTCCAGGACAGCAGGGCTACACAGAGCAACCCTGTCTCAAAAATAAAAAAAACAAACCAACAAACAAAAATGAAATAAATAAAAAATAAAAAATGAATGTTTCAAAAGCACAGCCTTAATAATTTCAGAGGGAAAATGGCATGTTTTGAAACTGGATACCACCCCCAAATTTCATGCATGAGACCATGTGTGGAAACCAGAGAAGAGCCATGTGGTAAGGGGGAACTTGGTGTTTGGGGTCTTGACGACCCTTAACACCAGCATATCCTTGACACTGATCCAGGATTCCACATCGTCAACCCCCAGGTAGGTTCTGGTCTCCCACCTGGGATATGGCAGACCTGGGTTTCATGTCCACCATTACACAGGTGTGTGCATACACATGGCTATCAAATAGGGTGGGATGTGAGAGCCCTAGCCCAAGCCTTTAACCTCAGCCTGAAGGAGGCTGAAGCAGGTTGATCTCTGTAAGGTTAAGTATAGAGAAAACAATAACAACAAAAAACAAAACAAAACAAAAACAAAATCCCTTCACAATGTAATATTGGTCTTTTGAAAACAAATCTGGAAATTCTGTGAATCAAGACACAAGGAATGCTAAATGCAGCCGCTGGCAAATGGCTATTAACAAAACAAAACACATAACCAAAAAATAAACAAAATGAAAATCTGTGACTCTGTAGTGAGAAAATATCCCACCTAGAAAATATTGAACAGAAAAGTCAGCAATGATATGAGAATTGAATGACCAATTAATGGGGCTCTTTGACCTTCAGTGTGTGTCAGCAGTCACTCTGCAAATCTGAGGGCCTGAGTTTGAAATCTTGGCACCTACATTAAAAACAAATCATGGTATGTGACTGTGGGAGCCTCTAAGCCTTGCAAAGGGATGAAGGACACAAAATGATCCTGAGATCCTGGTAATTCAGTGAGACCCTGTCATAAAAGGAAGATACATGATAGTTCACTCTGGCATTCAAATTTGCACACATGGTTGTACAAACTGGTCTAGTAACACCTGTACACACACACACACACACACACACACACACACACACACACACACAAAACCCTGATGTGGAGATGACAACTGAAAGCATAGGAGAAGGCAGAGCACATCCTCAAGATGACCACTCAAGTGTGCCTGGGGAAATGTGAGATGGTGTGGCTGTTTGAAAAAACACTGGGTAGGTTTTGGTGATGGCAAATATGTGGGTCACCTGGGACAGTCTTGTGAAAAATGTAAATGAACAATACACATTCAACACCCCTGAATTTCAGATCTAGATATTCACCTGCCCCACAGTCAGGGAAGGGGCTTTTCAACTGGAAGTGGTTTTATTCAGGACATGGAGATGAGATAATCCAAGAATCCTAACCCAGTGAGAGCACTCCACCCTGGCCCACCCCTTATGAGATCCATTCACCCTCAGGAGAAAGTTTCAGGCATTACCATGACAACACACACACACACATACACACACAAACACACACACACACACACACACACACACACACACACACACACACATCACTCCAGCCAGATCTATGGGACAAATTCTGAGGCCTGGATAAGACTAACCTGCAGGGATCTGTTCACACACCAGTGCTAAAAGCCTGGCTTATAACATGAATGTGGTCAGGGCTTCAAGCAGAAGCAGCAACAGGTGAATAACAGCAGCGATAACTAGCTTGGGAAATCCTTTCCCTCAAACCAGGCATCCAGTCACAACATCACCCACCCGAATGCACAGGCCATGCAGAGACAAACAGAGCATTCCCATTATCATAAATCAATATTCAAGCAGGGGATGACCTTGCCTGTGCTCAGCAGTGAGCCCTAAATTTCCCACATAACGAGGAACTGGAGTCCCATCCTCCAGGGGGTGAGGTATCACCACAGGGATGAACCTGTACCTGACAGAACTCTCCAGGACACTGCCTGACCTGAAAACATGACAGCTCAAAATATCATAAGGAAGTTTTGTAAGTGAACACCATCTAAGTTGTACATTTCACACCATTTGGGTTGGGATAGCAAAATTCCCCATTCCAGCTCTAGCTGTGACCCACACCAAATCCCCACAGACAATGCTCTCAGAATCCACTTGCATTATGGAGGAGATGATTCTGAAGGACAGACTTAGCACAACAGAGGCCCAAAAGCAAGAGGGCCACAAATGAGGTCCACCCCACAGAACACAGAGACTAATGCTGAGACCCCTATGTCCAAAACCTGGAGCCACAATGGTACCTGGCAAAGGCACAAAAGGTGTCCTCCTGAAATGGGCTGTGGCCACACAAGTGCCCTCCACCCATCCACTCACACTGACTCCAGCAGAAAAGTGGTCCTTTATCTTCTTAGTTTTCCTTTTGAATTGCAGCTATTGAACTCACCCATTTTTCTTCCTAAAGACGTCACAATGTTTGTCATAGAACATGAATACTGCATCATGAAGGCACACAGCATGACCAGGATCCCACAGTGGAGAGCCATGGCCACAGGCTCTTCATGGTCAATGACAGGAAAAGCACCAGCCCTTCTTCTCTCTACAGTCTGGCTCCTTCAACCTCCACAGGTATTCACAGGGCAGCTACCACATGTGGAAACCTTCATAGGATACTTAGTGTTTACAAGACTTTTATAGACTGCCTATTGTGTGGGTCTTGAGAAGGAGAAAACATCAAGTAAAGGACAGAAATATCCTAGAAAGTGTGATGGCTTATTGGGTTGTGGCTTGCCATCAAGCCTGACAACCTCAGTTCAATACCTGATACCCAAGTATGAGGAGAGAAACAATTCCCAAGAGGTGTCTCTGACCTCCACATATGCCCCATGGCATCTCCCCAACACCCTGCAAGTAGATTAGTGTAATTTATAAAGGGGACAGGAGACATGACTTGGTGGTTGAGTGCTTGATGCTTCTTCAGAGGACTGGAATTCAGTTCCCAGCATCCACATGGAGGCCCACACCCATTTCAACTCTTGGACATTCAATTCTCTCTCTGCCCTCTAGGAGCAACTACATTTTTGTGCACATCACCCAACCTTCCAGCAAAACAAACAAACAAACAAACAAACAAACAAACAAAAACCCAACCAACCAACCAAACAAAAAACCCAAAAGTAAAAGATTCCACACTGTCATGGTTCCTCTGTTGTTCTTTTGTTACAATTAGCACCTATGAAACACAAACATGAGACTCAGCACTCATGAAGAGAATGGAAGGGGGAGAGATAGGGCAGAAGAGCGGAGAGAGAGAAGAGAGGGGCGCACTTGCATGAGATGATCTCTGTTTTGTGCTTCACCCCTTGTCTTAGGGTTACTATTGCTGTGATAAAATACCATTAGCAATAAGCAATCTGAGGAGAAATGGGTTTATTTGGCTTACATGTCTATATCATTGCTCATCATCGAAGGAAGTCAGGACAGGAACTCAAACAGTGTAGGAACCTGGAAGCAGAAGCTAAGCCAGATGACATAGAGGCGTGCTGCATACCGGCTTCCTTCTGCTGTGATGACTCTAGCTTGTGTGAAGTTGACTCAAAACCAGCCACCATACCTGTAGTATTGCTTCACCGACTGACTGCTGAGATTTTGTTTCTTCTGATTTATTGTTCTTCAATGCAGCAGAGAATAAACATTCATTCCCATTACCCTCTGACATGGAATAGAATAGGTCAGCAAGATCCAACTGTGGCACAGTCACACCAATGGCTTCCCGATGCCCTTGCTTCATTCATGGTCACATTCTTTTCCCACTGCTCTCCAGTCCCTCCCTCACCCTTACTTCCCCTCACCTCCTAGGCCAAGCCCATCAGCCTCTAATGGAGACTATCCTGGGAAGATCAGGACCCCATTACCTGTCAGAGTCTCTGGCCCCAATATGCTTAACCTCTGGGTGGTTCTTGAGCTCTGCGATCTCTCCCCTTGTCATGACACAGTTCTGCAGACACTGCCTTGCTGCTCCCCTTCACCTCCACCCTACTTCCCAGCTCTCATTCATAGAAACATAAAAGATCTCTGTATTCATTTCCTGTTCTTCTTTGGTCCTTATCTGCCCTTCTGATGCTCTGCTGCACCCTCTGAGCACAGCAGGACTCCACCATGGCCCTGCTCCTGAACCCAGCAGCCCAGGTCATAAGGCCCTCAGCAGCTTTGGTCCCAGGATTAAGGGCTCCTTCCTTCTTGAATGGTTAGTCCAGGCTTAGACTGGCTGGCCTACTGCTGGTTCCTTTAGCACTTATGTCTCAGTACCTCTGAGCATCCCTGGCCCTGCCTGTCATTGAAAACCCTTAGCTTCTGCCTTCCTTGCCCTGCCTCTCCAGCCATAGCTACCATATTGGAGCAGCCTGGGCTCACATGGATGTGCCATCTGGATTCCGCCCAGCACTAACTGGGGATGTCTGCTTACTTGGCTTATGACTGCAGCTGGACATGGAGGTAACCCCTGACTGTGTTACCCAGCTGGCCTCATACTCTTTCAGAGATTCCCCCTCCTCCAATACCTGGATGACAAGTGTGTACTACCAAGCAGGTTAGAAAATAAGTTCAATCAAAGATAGGGATTTGAGGTCCTCACTACTTCCAACAGTGGGGACACCAACATTCTGAATGTCCAGTCATCTTGTACTATGTTGAACAGTGAGGGACTCCATGAGTACACTCTCAACTGTGTAAACAAAACCAGGCAGCATCCAAAGATGTCAGAGGTTACAAACTGGAGTGGCAGGCTGTCTCTACACAAATGAAACACTTATTTCTGCCATGATTTCATTGGAATTGTTTAACAGTGGTTTCTTGCATAGAGGCTGCCATGGAGAGCCACTGTTGCTAGGCTGCTCCTATCTCAGCACAGAAGCAAATGTAGCCAGAAAGATGTGTTTTGTTTTGTTTCTGATATGGCCTAGTTGCACCCTGACAGGCAGCATTTGTGTTCTCGAACACTAATTGTTCAATGAATTCAGTTCCTGCTGTTAGTCAATGGCGAACAAAGTCGGAAGAGGGCTCATCAGGCCCTTACTTAGTATTGGTAAGGAAGAGCTCATATCTCCTTTAGTGGGTAGCTTCTTCCATGCTCTGGTGGCAGCTATTTGAATTTGGGCATACAGCCCAGGATCATATTGCATTTGAAACATCTTCTACCTCAAAATTTCCTTCTCCCATCAGCATATCAGCATTCCAGCCATTGCCGCCTTGAGCATTTCATTTTGTAGTTTCTTTACAAGCCTCTGAAAATTCTGATTTCCATAAGAGGTTATCTCCTGCTGCCAGAGTTGCTCTTGTTAAGGTATACCAGTCTGAAGGAGTAAGCCAAGTATATTAGCCACAGATTCTATGCTGGCAGCAGTATAAGGAGCTCTGTGGCCCCTTATTGGAAAACTGTACTTTTAACCTATTTGATGACATTAAATTGGAAACCCCTATAAAAGTGGAAACCTGTATGATGTCACCATGCACCGCCTTGTGCATCTGTTGTTTCAGAGACAGGAAAGGTAGTTACATTGTCTGACTCTGTGTGTTCCTGTTAGGTAAGAGAAATCCTGGGGGCAGCCCCTTTAAGGGGTGCCTTGGTGGTGTGGTGTTCCTTTGAGAAGTCTCAGAGGATTTGTCAGACTTTAAACTTTCTAATTGGGCAATTAATTCTTGGTGTTCTTTTTTCTAAGCAAGTATGTTCCTTAAGGTATTGAATTTTATCCTGTAATTCTTTCTGGGGGTTTAAGACTGGGCAAGCTAGAGGAGGAACCGTGGGAAGAAGTGTATAGGGCAGAGGCCATTGTTTTAATAAAGGCCAGTCTGACACATGATATACTGCTGCTTTGTCATCCAAGTCCTCCCAATCCTCATCACTAAAGTCATCATCTGTGGATGGTCTGTCCCTAGTGACATTTTTAGTGATATATATATATGTATATATATATATATATATACATACATACATACATACATACATATATATATATATAGTTTAGCTCCTAAATCTCTAGTCTTGGGATTAGCTCACAAATCCTTTTTAGAGTGGGTCCTTTTTACACTTTTGTCTTGGGTCTGTGGGTTAGACTTTTTAATATCTTCAGTATCACTCTCAAATGACATGAGGTACTTTTCCTCATTGGCATGTTCCTCTGAGTCTTTTTTCTGAGGTTCAAAATTTTTCCAAGGTCAAAGCCACACGGTTTAAGACATTTTTCTCCTTCTTCTATAATATTGGCAACAAGAGGGTCAATTTGTTTGTGAGAAATTATTTCTTCAATTAAGTTCCAATATGAAAATGCTTTTATGGGGATTTATTTTCAGATCCAGAAGTCCTATAATAATCATTTAACGTGTCTTCTACTCTTTTCCATCATTTCTCGTCTATTGTTGCCTCAGTGGGAAACCATGGACAAACCTCTTTCACAAAAATAAAAACATTTGAGGAAATCTTACATTTGAAGCCTAACCTCTCTATCCTGAGTGCCAACTCATGTTGCTTCTTTCTTATCTCATTTGCATGGCTCACTTACCAAGGTCTGGAGACTGCAGGCTCCCATCTGCAGCTTCCTCTTTCTCTTTATCTTCTTTTGATTTGGCTGGCTCTTCCCTGGGGTGGCTTTTTTCACTGAAGCCCTCCTACTGGCCAGCAGGGACAGTTGACAATGACCCTGAGGGAGGGAGTGAGAATGAGGAGACAAGATATGTGAGAGTAGAGACAAGACAGTGATCTGATCAAATGTATGCATGCATGTATGTGTTTATGTGTGTATGTATGTGTATGTGAGTATGTGTGTATGTATGTATGCATGCATGTATGAATGTATGTGTGTATGTATGTATGTATGTGTGTGTATGCATGTTCATATGTATGTGTGTGTATGTATGTATGCATGCATGTGTGTATGTATATATGTGTGTGTGTATGTATGTTTGTATGTATGCATGTATGTATTTACCACAGGGTTTAAATAGTGGAGAGATGAGGGAATGGGCTGAAGGGAAGGTGTGAGGGAGGTGGAACGCCCTTCCAAGCTGAATGCAGGTGTTCTGCTATAACATGTGTTGTTATACAATAAGCCTGCAGCCGGGGCTCTTCCAAGGTGAGGCTGCATCATATATGCTTAACAGGAAAGCAGTCATAGGCGGAAATTACCAGTATGTTAGTATCTAAGAGAGTATTAGAAAAGATAGCTAACTTTGTTCTTGGGTTACACACATTGTGATCCAATATAATTAAATCTTGGATGATTCCTGGGCTCTGTGATCTCTCCCCTTGCCCTGACTCAGCTCTGCAGACACTGCCTGCTGCTCCCATTCACCTGCATCCCACATCTCATCTCTGATTCACAGAAGCACACAAGATCTCTGCACTCATTTCCTGTTCTCCTTTGGTCTTTGTCTGCCCTTGTAATGCTCTCCTGCACCCTCTGATCACAGCAGGACCCCAACATGGCCCTGCTCCTGAACCCAACAGCCACCAGCAGCCCAGGTCTTGGGGTCCTCAGTATCTCTGGGCCAAGGACTCAGGGCTCTTTCCTCCTTGAATGGTTGCTCCAGGCTGAGATACACTGGACTGATGTTCGGTCCTTCAGCACTTAGGCTGCATTACCTCTGAGAAACTCTGGTGCTGCTCTTCATTAAAAACAAGCACCTGGCTATCTCTGCTGGTCCACTTGGGGTTCCTGCAAGCAAGATCTTGACCCCCAAATCCTGGCCTCTGCCAATGAACGAGGCCTCAGCTGGAGAGCGCCAGTTTCCTGTGAGATCCCACTTTCCTGCAAAACCTTCTCAAGTTCCAGGTCAGACCTTGTCCTCTTCCACCAGCTATTGGCCAGAGGTGAGTCTGGGCCCAATCAGGGCTGCTTGTCTCCTACAACCTCTTTTCCCCCCTCCCCAGCCCGAACTCCCTGGGTTGGCCCCTGATCCTGCTGCTCCTGTCTCCTGTCCCCATCGAGAGCACCCTTGGAGCTCTGATACACCCCCACCCATCCCCACTGCCAGCCTACTCCCCCCCCACCCTGTGCCCTACCCCACCCATGGTCCTGCAGCTCTGGTTGAGCACTGGGACAGAGGGTGGAGACAACGGTCCTCCCTACTTCAGAGACTTCTCCAAGCAACTATGAACAAAGGAGACCCAACTATCCTCACAGGACCACTCACCACTGGCTTGGTCTCTGACCCCGCCTCCAGTCCTCTGCTGGAGTCCCAGGCCCCTCCCAGAGATCAGCCTATCTCTGCAGGCCCACTCAGAGTTCCTGCAGGCAAGACCCTTGACCCCCAAATCCTGGCATTTCCCAAAGAACCAGGTCTCAGCTGGAGAGCGCCAGTTTCCACTGAGATCCCACTATCCTGCAAAACATTCTCAAGTCCCAGCTCAGCCCCTGCCCTCTTCTGCCAGCTATTGGCCAGAGCTATTGGCCAGAGCTATTGGCCAGAGGACCACTGTGAGTACCTGCTTACATCTTCTGGATCCAAATCCTTGACTCCATCCCTGGATCTCTGTCTGCAGAGAAACCTCCTAGAGAGCTTGGACCACACAGAGCTACAGATATTGAATCTCAGACCCACATAAGCCCATCTGGGAAGTACCATAGGGAGGGGGGGTGATACACCACAAACACCTACTGGAAGAAGCTATGGGAAGAAAGCAATACAAGAGAACACCTAACAACAGAAAGACAAACATGACACCACCAGAATCCAGGGAATCTACACCATCTAGAATGGAACATAACAACAAAGCAGAGGAAGCAGAAGGGTATGACTTAAAAATTACCATCATAAAAATGATAGAGGCCCTCAAAGAAGATGTGAGAAAATTCCTTAAAGAAATGGAGGAAAAAACAAACAAAAAGTGGAAGAAATGAAAAAATACCTTAAGGAAAGTACAGAAATCCAAGAAAAAAGAATTAATCAGGTGAAGGAAACGGTTCGACTTGAAAAATGAAGTTGAGAAAATAA